CAAAGTACACTCAGAGAGCCCTGCAGCCTCCAGGCCCTGACTTACAAGATCAAAGAATCCTATGCAATCTCTCTAAGTGAACTTTGAACAAAAACTAATGTTGCAGGTTTTTGTTTTGACCTTCCAGCCACATGATCAAGCCAGAACTAAGCTGAAACTCCAACCTTTCTCCTGCTCAATTACTCCCTGCCCTTTTTAACAGACCTTCACGCAGAGAACAAGTCGCTGAGGTTTCCTGTCGAGGAAGGTTCTCTGGGTTCTGTAAGGGGATCACGTGTTATACTAACACAACCCAAGAATAAATTTTGTGTGTAGTGGGACAAAGTTATTTTAGTTGAATTCAACATCTTTTTGGCAAATCACCTGTCCCCAGACTGAGGACATGGAAGGAAAGGATAACTTATTTTTAACAGGAGATCCTGATATATTGTATTGGGAAATAAAGCAAATGAAGACCAAAGTCTGAGGACCTGAGAGTGTCCACAAGAAAACCTTAGTAACTCTTTTCCGATCCTCTACAACTCAAATCCTACCTGCCCTTCAAGGCCCAGTTGAAGAAAATACTCACAAAGTTCTCCATGGGCAGGTCAGCGTACACCAGTGTTTTTCCTATTTCTGAACCCCTTCCCAGTGGAAATGTTGTATCAGGCAGCAAATAACCTGAGTGCTGCAGGCTCTGAGTGAACACCTTCCGGGCCAGGGCAGTCAGATTCACATTCGTGCCTGGTTTAGGATTGCTCGGGTCCCTTCCCACTGAGGGTCTCCGCTCCCTGAAGATCCCTCTTCCCCCAGGAACTGAGAACCTATCAGACAGTAGCAGCTACACACACGGGTGTTGGAGCTAGTGTGGTATGTGATCCCGAGCAAGTCACTTGTTTTCTCTGTGCCCAGTTCCTCATTTGTAAAATGGTCTTAATAGTTGTGAGAATTCAGAGAATCCATGTAATACACTTCAAACTCAAATAGCAGTGTTTCCATTTTTTAAAATGGCCCCCAAATTCTTTGACACACTTCCCACGCAGAGGCGGTGCTCTATGTCCCCTCTCAAATCTGGGCTCTGAAACCAACCAATAGAATGTAAGTATGAGATGCCACGCCAGTTTCGGGCCTCAGGCCTTCAGAAACGGGGAGCTTCCACATCCTGCCTCACTCTCAGGACCTAGACACCATGCTGTGACGGAGCCTGGCCACACGGACAGGCATGCTCTGGCGGAAAGCCCCAGATGAGCTAAAAGCCAGAGTAAAAGCAGAGAAGCTTTTGCAATGACTCCAACTACAGCCACCATTGGTCTGTAACTACAAAAATTAGAGATCAGAAACTCTGAGTAAGAACTGCTTAGCTGAGCCCAGTCAACCCCTAGAATCATGAACGATAAGAATAAAATGACTGTGGTTGTTTTAAGTCACTTATTTTTCTGGTGATCTGATACTCAGCAATAGATGTCTGAAGCCTTTCCTTGGTGCTTTAAGGAGGTCTCACATCGGTCCGTGAGAGATCTTAGCCCTCACCTGCTAGTCCAGGGGGACACTCGGTCATGCTGCTTCCTCCTCCCCAGCTTCGCACAGTCAGGTGCACCCTTCCCCTCCCTTCACCCAGAGACACGTGTAGGTTTCTGAATTCGGCTGCAAAGCTGACTCAAGTTTTCTCCCCAGAGGAAACTTCTTAGCTCCCACATTAATCAGTGCATTCAAAGACGGCAACAGAATAGCTTCTCGTGTGTGCTGCCACCTTCTGTTCACTGCGCTGTCCCTCTGTTAGAGTCTGGTCTCCCCCCAAAAGAATGTAAGCTCCTAGAGAGCAGGCACCCTGCTTTAATTTTAATTTTTGTACAATGTTAATTTTCTTTTTTGAGCAAATTTTAACTTTCTGAGGGAAAAAGTGACCACAGCTGGTTGCAACCAGTGAAAAGCCTAAGTATAATGATTCTCCACAGGGACAAATAGTCAAATACGTGCTAGAGGAAAATTACACTGCCCAATATGAATCTTCTGATGCCCAAATTCTCAATGTAAAAAAACAGTATATGAGGCTAAATCATCCTATTGTGAAAATAGGGGTGAAGATGGTTCATACAAAATGAAAAGCCCTGGGGTTAGAAGGTAAAATTTCTTTGGTTGTTTCAATGTTGTTTCCTTAGTGGAAAATCAAGTATTTACTATATTCTGTCCAAGATGTAAGAAGTATTTTATGTGCTGAGTTGATAACTGCCAAAATCTTGGCACTTAGGTCTGGCACTGAAGTCAGACCTGAAGGATGTTCAGTGGCTGGGTGGCAGAGCGGGGGGTGGGGGTTGTTGGCAGGGGGTGTTCCTGGGGAGCTCATCCATAGCCTCTACCTGGAAGCATGCTACACGACATCTCCTGCTCCGTGGAACCATCTCCCCAAGTCTCCCTGTCTGTTGCCAACCAAGAAGCTGAACATGCTCCAAGACTATTGGCTTATGTGGAGCAATCATATGCTCTAACACTGGCCCCTCCTCCAGGCGGGGTTAGTGGTGCCTTTTCTGTGTTCCCACAGCCTTCGGTGCTTCCTTTTATACCAACCCCTACTCTGCCTTTCGGTGTCTGTGTATGTCTCTCTCTAACAGACTGAGCTTCCTGAGGGCCTCGACAGCCATTGAGGGCCTCAAGTTTTTCTCTTCCTGCTCCCTGGCAGTAAGTAGCAGGATCCCCTTAGTGAAGTTTCAAATAAATGAGTGAGTAAATGAATTAATGAGTGAATGTACTTTCCATTATTTCCTTTCAATCAGCACAGATTACATGCTTTTTCCTAAACGTGCCCTGTGTTTCCTTGTCTCTGAAGGGACTTGGTTTTATGTGTTTTTGGAAGCCTTCCCAGTGCACATAGTAGTGTAGCAGCAAGATCAGCTGCATAATTTGCAGGATCCATTGAAAAATGAAAATGTAGGGCCCCTGGCTCAAAAATTATTAAGAATTTCAAAACAGTGACAGCAGAGCATTGTACCGTGTGTGGGGTCCTTTTAAGGGCCAGGCCCTGCATAACTGCATAGTCACATATCCATGAAGCTGGCCTCTGTAGCAGCCACCTGTTCTCTGTAGCAGCGCTGCATGCCATGCTCCTGCTCCTGGTAACTGTAGTTTTCACTCGGGGAGCTACCCTTTCCTATCTGTGTGTCTTGGATGGGACTGCCTACCCCAAGAGGGAACATGTGATCCAAGTCTGACCAATGAGAGCATCGTATCCACCTCATCACAATTAGTACAGGGATGGGCAAGTGACCACCTGTGAGACCCATACCTCAGAAAGGTGTTCTTTTTGTGGGTACTACTAAACTGGCAGGAAATAAGCCTAGAGCTTTTGGGAGTCACCAGTTGGGGAAATCCTGCCTAAGATAAAGCTGATCCTGAAAAAAACAAGAACAAGAGGAGTAGTGGGGAGTGGGATTCTTGCCAACATCATTTAAGCAGCGGATTGAGCTGACCCTCCAGACTTTTCTTTTTTCTAATTTGTGTAAACCCCAAAATTTCCTTCATGGCCTAAGCCAGCTTACCTCAGATTTCAGTGCCCTGTAATCAAAACGGACCTGACGAATGAGTGGGAACTTAATAAATACCTTTCAGTTTGAATAACAGACCAGAAGGGCTTGAAGGAAACCATTGTTATAGTTCTATTGCCCGTCCTTTGCTTAGTTCCATTTGACTTGAGAATCAGGGCAAGAAATTGAGTAGCCCAGAGAGACTGTGACTGGGTTATTAAAATGGGAATTTAATAGTATGTGAAGGACTTATCTGTTCCTCATGCTCACTGTTTCTTGTGTAGACAGAGACAGGAATGAGGAGCATGGGTTGGAAGCTGTCTTTGCTTTGGAGATTTGAAAACAAAGTGTTTATGTTAAACATGTTTTACTTTGATAATATGAAATAATGATAATACAGTTTACTGTTTTAAAGGCTCTGAAAAGATGTGAGTAGGGCCAGTGTACCTTTCTGTAGACAGTTTACCTTTCTGTAGACCAGTCCCATACAGTTAACTCGGATCAGCCATGCCGACCCTCCACTAAAGCCCAGCTTCGCAGGGTCCGGAAGTGGGTGAGCCCCGCAGCTCCTCCCCGGGCCTCAGCCTGCCTGCCCCTCTCTGTTCCGAGCTGCATGTCAAGGCCAGCAGGGCACTGGGGTGTTTACTGACTCGGCCTAACCACGCCCCACCTGCATCCTTTCGCCAGTTTCATTTGGAATCCTGAGAAACGGTCTCAGATTGCTGACTCGACTGCCAACAGCAAACATTATTTATCTTCTGGATGGGTTGGCAGGAAAACCAAATTTTTTTTTCTCCAGGCCGGCCAAAATCTTGAGGCCAGTTAACTTCCCTCATGATCTCATCAGTCATCCTTCACTTCTGCTCCGAGTGAAACCTGACCGGTGCCCTGCTCGCCTCCCAGCCAGCGTTGTTCTCTGCGTCCACCCCCAGACTTGTCTCCCACCGCGGCCCTCCCTCACAACCTTCCTCAGGGGGGCCCTCTTCTGTTCTGGGGGGAACTCTCTCTCCATCCTATTCCCTATTCCTTCATTGAATGCTATATGCCTTCCCTGAAACCAAATCTTTCCAAGGATGTCTACCACCTTCCCCCATGGGCCTCTCACAGTTCTCAAGTGGAAACTCCCAGGGACTCTCCTTACAGCTATCATCCAGAGAAAGTTTAATTTTCTAACAGGTGTCTCAGCCAATACCCTAGCATCAAGTTTGGTTACCAGCTTAGCCTCAGTGGCCTTTGTCTTCTCTCGACTTCAGCCACGTTCCTGTCCTGTATGTCCTCAAAACTCAGCAGTGAAATGTTGAACTCCAATATCTCTGAACATGTTTAAACACACACACATGCATCACTTATCTCCCACGTTCTAACTTCAATTCCCTGATAACCAGCATTCATACTGCCAAACATCAGCATTTTTGCTTTATTGAGGCTTCTAGTCAATGGTTAACTCCATTTTCCTCAAACTCACATATTCAACAAACATCTACCGAGTCTACGTCTGTGCCAGGCATGACCAGGCAAAGGTCTCAAAGCTTCATTCTAGTGGGAGGACATTCCAGCTACCTACTGCTGTGTAACAGAACACCAGCACTTCGACTGCAAACAGAAGGATGTATCAGATCCCACAGTTCTCTGTCAGGTACTGGGCCAGGGATGGGCTGGGCAGCCCTGCTGCTGCTCTGGGGGTCAGCTGAGATCACTCTTTCGTTGACATTCGTCATCGCTGCCTGTCTGTCCCTTCAGTGGTCCTCCGCCCAGAAGCATGGACTTCCTCCCTGCAAGCTGGGGTTCACACTTGTTACCTGGCAGCCAGCCCCCGAGAATAAAACTGGAAGCTGACCTGACAAGCCTCCCCAACGTGAAGCCCAGAACTGCACAGCGTCTTTCTACTGAATCTGGTCAGTGAGAGCCAGTGATGAGAAGCCGTAGGCCAGTCCAGACTCAGTGGAAGGAGAAACAGGCTCCACCTCGTGACTGGTGAGCTGGCTGTGAGTACAGCGAGAAGGAATTGACGGCGGCTATTTTTGGAGACTGTCAACTACAGAGGAGGGAGACAACATATGTATATATGGACAAATAAACAGTGAAGTACCAGACAGTAATAAAAGCTGCCAGAGAACTGAAACAGGGTGTTTCGATAGAGAACCACTCAGTAGCTCCTGTAGATTGAGGGGATTGTCAAAGAAGCTGTATTTAAATCACAATTTGAAAGGCAAGAAGTGATAGCCATGTGAGGATCCAGGCAGAAGGAAGAATTAGCAAAAAGCTCTAACTGGGAGGGAGCCGGGCTTGTGTACAGAATAGAAAGAAGGACCAGGTGTTAGGAGCGCGGACAGTGACAGAGTGCAGTTGGAAATGAGGTCAGACAATAGGAAGGACCAGATCAAGTGCACTGTGGTAAGGAGGTTAGATTTTATTCCAAGAGCAGTCAGTGAAAAGCCATTGAAGGTTTTAAACAGAGGAGGGACGTGGGACAACTTACATCACTAACAGGTCACTCTGGCTGCCATGTGGGGAACAGCCTGTGAAGTACAGAAGCCAGGCTGGTGAGGGCGCTACTGCAGGAGCCTGGACCAAGAGATGGTGGCTTGTTTGGCTGCTGGCTGTTGGGAGGAGAAGCTGAAGGTACGTTTGGGGGTTGGGCCAGCAGGAAGTGTGGAGGACTGAGCCTGTACTCTCTTGGTTCAAGTCCCTTTCATGCCTGGGTGATCGCCAATGCTCCGCACCCATCTGTCCTTAAATGGCACCTTAGAGCTTTTCAAGATTATACTCATGAGTCACTTTAACGACAGGGATACATTTTCAGAAATGCATTGCGAGCTGATTTCATTGTCGTGTGAACATCACAGAGGGCACTTACACACACCTAGATGGTACAGCCTGCTGCACACCTAGGCTGCGTGGTACCGCCTGTTACTCCCAGGCTACACTCCTGTACAGCATGTTACTGTACTGAGTGCTGTAGGCAACTGCAACACAATGGTATTTGTGTATCTAAACATATCTAATCGTAGAAAAGGAACAGTAAAAATACCATATAAGAGATAAGAAACGGTATACTGATACAGGGCACTCACCATGGGTGGAGCTTGCAGGTCTGGAAGTGGCTCTCAGAGAGTGAGTGGTGAGTGAACGTGAAGGCCTAGGTCATTATCGTACACTACTTTGGACTTCATAAACACTGTACACTTTGGCTACACTAAATTTACAAAACAACATGAGATTAAATCAAGCACAAGAGAAAATGACGTAATCAAGACATGAGGTAAACACAAAAGTATGAAGTTGTTTCCAGCATAACATGGCACACTGTTTTACAGAAAGATTACACTCTAAAATAGTGATAAAAAGTATGCTATAGGAAATGCATAACCCAGTAACACAGTCGTTTGTTACCATTATGAAGTACTAGGTACCATATCGAATTGAATTGCTGTATTTTACATGACTGGCAGCATAGTAGGTTTGTTCATATCTGCATCACCACAGACATGTGAGTAATGTGTTGCACTGTGACATTACCATGGCTACATCACTAGGCAATAGGAATTTTCAGCTCCATTATAATCTTTTTTTTGTAAAGATTTTATTTATTTATTTTTAGAGAGAGGGGGAGGGAGGGAGAAAGAGAGGGAGAGAAACATCAGTGTGTGGTTGCCTCTCATTCATGCCCCCTACTGGGGACCTGGCCTACAACCCAGGCATGTGTCCTGACTGGGAATTGAACCGACGACCCTTTGGTTTTCAGGCCGGCACTCAATCCACTGAGCCACACCAGCCAGGGCTCAGCTCCATTATAATCTTAGGGGACCACCACAGCATACGTGGTTCTGCTATGCAGCACAACAACTATATTTTAGATTTAGTACCTTTGCATACAGTGCAGCCCTTCATGATAGGCTCTGCCCCCCTGCCCCCTCCACTTAGGCTCGTGTCCAGTGTGTGTCCCAACATACCCTTTTCTCCAGCCATTTCTAATTATTCAGTGTTCCCTGACATGTCCTAGTTTGTGATCCCATGCCTGGCAGGTGCTGTTTCTTTTTTCTAAAATGTTTCTTCTCCCTCACCTTCATTTGTCATCCAGCCAACTTCTATTCCTCCTTCAAAATATAACAGGTGCCACCTTTTCCACTAAGTCTTTCCTGAAACCTCAGTTTTACTTAGATTTCTGTGCACTCCACACATGGCACCAGAGACATCCAACTCCTTGTCTGTCTCTTCCAGCTGACTGTAGGTGCCTTGAGGACTGGAACCCAGTGCCTGGCTCCATAAGTGAAGAAAGTGAGAAATTTAAGAGAGCTGATGCCACCACGTTTGTCATGATTTGCCCTGGGGGTGTGAAACCTGTGTAAGATCAAATCACAGCAGGAAGATGGATTTGATAGGTGGTCCCTTTACCGAGTTCCTTCCTTCTCCTGAGCTGATTCTAGGAGGCCAACCTCATCCCTTCACAGGCCTTGCCAGCCTCCCACAGCAAGTACTTATTTTCCCTTGAGCTCAGAATTCTCCAGGAAGGGTCTGGCCTCTGCACACACCAAGTATAAACATCATTGTTGATGGAAATCAGGAAAATCTGAAAAGCCCACTTCAGCCAACACGAAGGTCACTGTGATGTTTCAAGGTAAATAAACTACAAGCTGCTGACTTTCAAATCTGTAGCCAGACTTGGTCCTTGCACTGAAATTTAGACTCTCATTTCCAACTGTCCAAATAACTTCTTTGCCTGGATGTTCCCCAAACTTGGCAGGTCTAAAATCAAACTCATCATCTCTCTTGCCCCCATATATCCATGACTGGGAGTCTACCAGTAACTCAACAAGGAGTCACCAATGAATATTTCTTGAGTTCACCCTCCTCTTCCTTCCTATTGCCAGGATCCGGGCCCAAGTCCTCAGCCTCTTCGGTCTGCACAGCCACATCGACCCCTTCACCAGCATCCCTGCTCCCCGCCTGTGTTCTTCTGGCTCCCTGGGGATCCATGTGAAATGCAAATCTGATCTGCCCCTCCCCACTCTGAAACCCTTTAAATACCCAGCACAGGGTTGTCAAACTTTAGTTTGTATCCGAACTGCCTTGAGAACTTCTTGAACAATGCAGATTTGATCCCCTCACCAAAACCAATAAATTCAATGATCTGCTGGGTGGGGCAAGGGACTCACATTCTTAACTGGTCTCCAGGCACTCAAGCACTTTGATCCGTGAGACGAATCCAAGCTCTTCATTCACTTTACCAAACCCTCCTCACGTGTCCCTTGCCCTCTTTAGGGGAGGTCCTACCCACCTCTCTAGCCTCACCCATCCGCCTTCACACACCCTGCTCTTCGTGGTACTTCTCACCTTTGACCTTTGCTCTATCTTGCCTGCTACCAGGAATGACTTCTCTGAATGACCGCCGCACCCCCTCACTTCTCAATTAGGTAACTCTTTGTAACTTAGCTACTCAGAACATCAGCATCATCTGGGAGCTTGTTAGAAACACAGAGTCACAGGCTCCACCCCAGCCCTACGGAATCAGACCCCGGGTGATTCCAATGTACTTCAGAGAATAAGGAGCACAGCTTTAAAACTCAGCTCAGAAGCACATATTCCAGGAAGGCTTCCCAGACTGACACACACCACTCACCAGGTATTCCCCTGAGTGAACACTGCGTGTCTGCACCGCTGTGCGTGCAACATGTCACAGGTCAGGCCTCCCATAACCCAGTCACAGAGAACTATCGGATTTAAAGCATTGCCCAAAGACGAATGTTGATCCCCAAGTACCCCAAAGTCAAGAGCACATCCCTTTCTTGCTGTCCCATCCCCTGTCTTGATACCTCTGCTCCCTGTCTTGTCTGCACATGCTCAGCCCCACAGGTGTCCCAACATGCAGGGTCCCCTACCTCACCTGGTCTCTGGGGTGATGCACCTCTTCACTCTGTCTGCTTTTCTCCTGAGAACCTGCCTGTGTGACATGGTCGCTTTTCCCCTCAGAGACGGGGACAGGAGAAGGAGGCAAGTGTCCAATGCTCTTAGAGCATTCAGAGTCCCAGGCTGCAGTAGAAATGTTTGTTCGTTTAAATATGTATCTGCCTCTCCCATCCTCCTCTTACAGCAGTTCATTGCTGAACACCTGACGTGCTCTTCACGACTGGGAGCCAGAGGCCTGTTCTCACAAGAGGTTCTGCCACTGACTGGTGATGTCACCCTGGGCAGGTCCCTGTACCTCTCTGAACATCTAGTTCTTGGTCTGTAAAAGGGGGATAACAATGCTGCCTAGTATACCCCACCACATTTCTACTGAGCCTGACTATGCTTGGGTGCGGTGCGCATGTCCGCAGGTGCGCGCGAGCACGCAGCCGCAGCCTCTCCGTGCTATTCATCAGCTCACGCAGAACGCAGGAACGTCCCAGTTTTTCTATCATCTTTCCGTGCTGCCTTAAAGCCATGAATGACCTGGCTGATTAGCCGAAGAGCATCAATGGCACCAATAAAATGAGACAGGCCAAGTTCATAATAGGCTGTGCTGCACAGTCATCATTTGTCTCTAACGGTGATGAAGGAGCACGGTTACACTGCAAATTTGAAATCACCGCTTGATCACAGAGCTGGGGAGATTTTTGTGAATCTCACCAACACATTAGAATAATGTGGGTGAAGCAAGTGTGTGGCCTCAGATTTGATGTACGACTCAAAGGTCTAGAAAGATGGCAGAACAATTTGCTCCCGTCTGTCTGTTTGGTTTTATTATACTGATGATGACCTTAGCTGGCATCATGGATGAATACACTCAAAAGAAAAATCCTGGGATTCTTTTTCTAGGTATGTAATACATACATACAAATTGTCTCAATGGAAGAGAGAGGGAGAGGGCCAAGCCCAGGTCAGCTGTCTGCTAGCTGCCGCTCTGAGTCTCAGCCAGGGCACTGAACAGGGAGGAACCCAATCCCTTGGCATCCACATGAGTTTCTAGGCATCTGGTACATGCGGAAGTTCTCACTGGGAAGTGTTCCAGAGCCGTTAGCATGCACAGGGGGACAATGGCCATCCAGGGAGCTCGACCCAGCAGAAGCCTGGGCTCGTTGTAACAGAAGAGTGAGAGAACTGCGGGTGCTGGAGCCAGGGTGCTTGTGGAGGACATCCTCTGTGTCTTTATCTTTGACCTGCCAAGTGGAGGGCTTGGAGGTGTTACAAACTGGTGTGGGGCCAGAATACATGGGGTTTTATTTTTGGAATGGTTAGAACTCTTACACAGAAATAAGATTTAAAACTGGAGTATTTCTCTCCTCCCCTACCCCATGTTATTAATAATAATGATCTATGACACACCTACTATGTGCCACACACAGTATTAGGCACTTGGCTTATGTTGTCTTAGTTAACACACTTTCATCACAAAATTGAAAAGAAGGCTGAGGAGCTGATATGATTTTTAAAACCTAAAGTAAAACCCCTGCAGCTCTGACTCCCACCTCCACTGGCCTTTCCCACAACATTCCCAGTGAGTGCTGGTCCAGAGGGACCTTCTGCACTCAAATGAATTTAGGAATGTCTGCATATTTTTGTCCCCTTTGGTTTTGTGATGCAATTAGCTAAAAAACACTGAAGAAACTAACCCAAAGATCTAACGCAATATTTAAACGGCATAGGGAATTGAGATCAGCTGTTTGGATGTCCTTGGCTTTTCCCTAGTGATTCTGCAGTAGTTCCACTCGTGATAATGTCCAAAGACAGGAAGAGGCAAGTACACATCTTGTATTTTGATTTACAAGTAAGGAATACCTTTCCAGGAGTCCCCAGGCCTGATTTTTCTGACACCACAATGAGCAGGGCTATAGCACATGTCCAAGCCTAAAGCAATCATTGTTAGAAGGATGGCTTAGACCAGCCTGGGCACTGGAGAAGGAGCCCATGAAACACACAGGTATCATAGCCAAGCAAAATCCAGGCTATCTGAGCAAAAAAGTTGGAACAGGGATGAATGGTATTGAGTAGAAAATAACAGGGTCTTCCACATTTTTCTTGGAGATTCACATTGCCCATGAGCATATTTAAGGCTCTAGTTTCTTTACTAACCCATGTAACTTCTTCCAAATCCAGCGCTTCTCAAAGTTATCTTTCCTTGGAGTTACTAGCTTCCTGCAGGCTTGTTGAGAAATGCTGGATCCCACCGTGCTGTTTGTCCTCAGTGGAGTGACAGTCCTGAGGGCTCTCAAGCGTGGACAAACTTGGAGCCAGACGGCGCTCTTTGCACCTGCGGGAGAGCAATGAGAACAGCTCAGTAATTTGAGTGTTCCTTGACCCAATTAATAGGAAATAAAGGCAGGAGTTTTCTTTCTTCTTCGGGCTCCTTTTCTTTCTGACGACTCTAAATTAATAGGTTTAAAATGTTACTTATAGTTGGATTTCTTTCCACTAATGTTGCCACCAGGGAGGGAGAAAATGACAGCTTTTAATATTGATTTGAGAGGGACCAATGGTTAGGTCAAACCAGGACTGCACTTCCTTCCTCCCAGTCTGCATATGCATCTACATTAGCAAAGCCTGTAAGAATGCTCTCCCACTTGTTACTTGCCTGTGGCCTCTTTTCAGAAGCCAACAACCTCCAGAAGCCTGGACAGCTGGCAGTCAGCTCTCACAAAGCACTCAGCTCAGCAAACCTCTGCCTTTCTCTTCCCCCTTAATCCTCCGGTCTTCCCACCCACCACTTCTCCTCTGTGCTTCTTCCCTTGTTGGAAATTTCTTACTGGTTTACAAAAAGGAGACCTTGAGGTTCCTTTGACATTGCTATTTGAATGAAAATAGAAACCCCACTGTAGCCCTCTGCTGGGAAAGCCAGCCAAGTGGTAATATCTCTCTTCGCCACCCCCACCCCACCCCACAAACACAGGTGCTCAGAACCTGAGCAGAGGTCCTAAGCAGAGGAAAGACTTTGGGCAGGCAGGCAGGCAGGCAGGAAGGCTACACTTAGCATTCGAGATAACCGAAGTTCAGGTTGATTTCACAGACACAACCACTATTCTCACTCTTCTCCGTCTCTGGGTCCAGCTGTGGGCTGGCCTTTGTTTCCATTTGTGCATGTGGGTTTTAAAAGTAAGGCCATTCTGCTGGGCATGGGAGGGAAGAGCAGGCACCCGCAGCTTTCCCTGGCTTCCTCAGACAAGTTGTCCTGCAAGCTCATGAGCTGAGCCGTCTGGGCTAGTGTCTGGTGGAAAAAGTCAGGTGGGCGAGGTACCACTTGCTAGGGTGACAGAGAAAAGCTCAACTCACTCTGCCTACTTCATCCAGACAAGTATCATTTGCAACACTGAGGTTCCCGGGATCCCGGGGTACAGGCAGGTCTGGGATGGACCTTGCACAGGCTTAGCTCTCAATCACATGGCCTTCCCCTGCATGCCACAGTATGCGTCTTCCTTCTTCTGGAGTCTCACTTCCTTGACCTCTGCATCTCCCTTTTCTTTCACCCTATGTCCAAAAAATATTGGGTTGGCCAAATAGGTTGTTTCATTTTTTTCTGTAAGTTGGCTCTAGTAAGTGCTTAGTTGTCTTTAACTTCATTTGAAACAATTTTTTGATTGTCTTGTGACAGCTGTCACATCAGCATGAATATATTAAAAAACTTATCAAAATTGGTGAATTTTTGCCCCTTCTGTCAT